AGAGGACCGGGCAGCGGCTGGCAGAGCACAGAGGACCGGGCAGCGGCTGGCAGAGCACAGAGGACCGGGCAGCGGCTGGCAGAGCACAGAGGACCAGGCAGCGGCTGGCAGAGCACAGGAGCCTTGGGCTCCAGCTCCCTGATCCTGTGTGGGGTGGGTGTGTGCTTTCACTGTCTGTAAAAAGAAGCGATCTCTTGTCCACAGGGACCTGTCAGCCCACGGGGTCAGCCACAGGGGTCTCTGCATCTGTGGAACCTGTCACAAAGGTCTCTCTACCCACAGGGCTCTCCCTAGCCACCCGCACCATGGAGATACGTCAGTGACAATGGGAGTTGTCAACACTTAACGTTAACAGCTTTCTCACAGGTCTAGCTATGTGGTTTTTCTTGTGGAGCAGCCACTCTGGCCACAGGGACCCATGGCCTGGCAGGATGACCTTCCCGGGGCTCCTTCCCAGGCCTTGCAGGATGACCTGCCCGGGGCCCCTACCCAGGCCTGGCAGGATGACCTCCCTGGGGCTCCTACCCAGGCCTGGCAGGATGACCTTCCCGGGGCTCCTACCCAGGCCTGGCAGGATGACCTCCCCGGGGCTCCTACCCAGGCCTGGCAGGATGACCTCCCTGGGGCTCCTACCCAGGCCTGGCAGGATGACCTCCCCGGGGCTCCTTCCCAGGCCTTGCAGGATGACCTTCCTGGGGCTCCTACCCAGGCCTGGCAGGATGACCTCCCCGGGGCCCCTACCCAGGCCTTGGGCCTCTGGCTCTGGCCTTGACCTGAATCTTATGCTGCGTAGTGCTAACGTCACTGCCTTGGCAGTTAGCACACGCTTCCTGTGCACCTGTTAGTGTGTCCTTCCCGTGCATTTGCTAGTGCATGATTCCCGTACGCTTGTTCCTGTGCACGTGTTAGCACACACTTCCTGTGTACTTGTTAGTGTAGCCTTCCCGTGCATTTGCGAGTGCACGTTTCCTGTACGCTTGCTCCTGTGCACCTCGTTGGTCTTCACTGGAAGGGTGTCAGTGTCTACGAGGGTCATGCCTGCCCAGCTTCGGAGTCTCTCCTGTCTGAGGCTGTGGAGGTGTGGGCTGCCTGGCTGCAGGTACTGCTTAGGCTCGTAAGACGAAGGTCCCCGGAGGACTGGCTCGCGAGGCGTCCGGTCCGAGCAGGGTGGTGTGGCAGATTTGCACCCTGCTGTGCACCAGCTCCGAGGAAGGGGTCAGGCAGAGAGCGTCTCACGGAGCCCTGAGACAGCACCAGTCCCCCACGA